TTGTACGAAATTTATGGGACTTTTGGGACATTTTCACCCCCTTTTGCATTATTTTGCATCAAATAATTGCAGACTGGTGCCATGGTTACACCAAAAAGAAATTATTTTTCACAATTTTAGCTATTGGAAATCAAATCTATGGAAGATGCTGTTTCCATAAAAAACACATAAAAAACACAAACATTAAGCCTTATTTGTTAGAAAGCAAGGGAAAGAGGGTGGTAAAAAATTATGAGTGTCAATTTTAAGTTTTTTTTCTAACTGTGTATTGCTTCCTAAGGTGGGGAAATTGATAATTTCAAAATCAGATTCTGGTACTGAGATGACCGCTCATGTCGAATTCGAGGTATAAGTCTAAAAATGAGGCAGAGGAAGCCGTGTCTGTTGTTCCTTTAATTTGTAGTTATGGATGATATATTAAAGGAACCCAACCAGAAAAGTTTGGATTGTTAATGGAAAGAACATCATCAATATATCTGAATGTGAAATTAAATGATCTGGCTTCTTTGATCTTCTTGTTTTTTACAAGTGTCTGAAGGAACTCCGACTCATGAAAATAAGAAGAGATCGGCAAGGAGAGGCGCACAGTTTCTTTCCATATAGGATTGCCGACAATTTGTTGCCTTAAGGCCTAAAACACCCTCTGTTATATTGTATATTTCATTTGCTGTTAAGCCTACTACACCCTTATGTTATATTGTATATCGTTTTTGCCCTTTTTAAGTCTCCATTGTTATCATTCCTTCTTTTATTTGTTTCTGTTTTTCCCGACTTCCCGTGCTGTCCATTTATTATACACGTAAGCAGCTTACTATCAATATAACTATGTTTATATTCTTGCAAACAATACCATATAGACTCAATATATTTTTTTCAGATGATGTTATAGTTGGAAAGGAAAGGCTAATTGTTTATGAGGTTTTAAATCGCGGTACTGTGACAGAGACTTATCAAGTGTCAATATCAGACGACCATTCATTTGCCCAAGGAACTACATCAGTAAATTATGCCCTGCTTCCTGGAGATGGTGCTAATGGAACATTTGCTGTTAGACCTACCACACCCTCTCTTATATTGTATGTTTTATTTGCTGTTAAGCCTACTATACCCCTCGGTTATATTGTATGTATCATTTGTTTATTAAAAAGCATCATTTCAAAAATCAGTTCATGTAAATCACCATATTCTCTCAATCAAAATCGAAATACTACAGACAAGTGTTTGATAACGTAATGACGATCCGATCTTATAACATATTAACTACATGATAAAAAGACTTCTCATGAACGATACAAATCTTTATGGCAGGTTATGGAAAGTAAAAGTCTCGAAAAACTATGAGTTGGTTTGTATTTCTTATATTGCATAAGAACTCTGCGAATCTTTCTTACAGAAATATCTTTTCCCTAAAATTTCAACTTTTATTTCAGCTCATATACAATATCTGTTTCAATTATATCAACTGGAGAGGTTCAACAGAGTATCACCAGGAAACTTGTGGTATGGTCAAAACTCTTAAAGATAATATTGATGAACGTTTTTCAATAGCTTTCTGGAAAGTAGACTTGCATATAAGTAATAACTAGATGAATTTTGACATCAACAATTCCGATTCTATAAACTATTGAAAACAGTAATTATTGAATGAATTTTAAAATGAACAAGCATGGGAATTCTGCAAATGAAGTTACATAAGAGAGGCGAAATTTACCAAAGGGACATTCAAACTCATAAGTCGAAAATAATCTGACTATGCGGTATGGGTTATAGTTGTTCACTTCTATGTCATGTCTCTTGTGGGGAGTTTTTTCATTGGCAATCATACCACATCTTGTTTCTTTTATATTAGCTTAGTATTTCGAAAAGTCAAAGTTTTGATAACAATTGATTTATAATTATGACCATAAGAATGATGATTGAACAACACACAACCCTTTTTTTCAAATTCTGTGCCGCCTTTGCATCCTTGTTCAAGTAAGTAGTTTTATGTTAGTAATTAGGTTAATTGGGACAGGGTTTGTCCACACGTTTAACCAGTTTAAACTACAATATATCTTGCCTTTACCAAAATAGGCTTTCGAAACTATATGTTTTTTTCGGTGTTGTTTGTCTTTCTTAGTTACACTTTTTCCCGGTTTCGGGGTTTTGTTTTAGTCGGTTTTACTGTTCAATTTATTTTGTTATTTCTTATTTTTTATTCATTATTACACATGTAATTCAAATGCTTAATATGACCCATATTGTCGGCATGTTTTGGCCAAATATGATAAATATATACAGGTCTGTCCATACATTTTTCTGTCAACTAAGTTTGTTTTCGATTGTCAAAATTTCCAAAAGAAATATGATAAATTAATGTGAACTATTATTAAAAGACTCATTCGTCCAATGACAATAGCTCATAGTGATATTCTACATTTAAATGAGCTTAAAACTCATTAAATATCATGAAGCTGTTAAATAATATTGGTCTAGGTAACAAACAATAAGAAAAAAGAAAAGGTATTGGAACAAGTACATTACACATTACAGCAAAAGGTTAAGAACTTGATCGTTTCATTCTTCAAACAAAGTAAAAGAATAATATAATGTGACCCTATTATCAACAGACTGACATTCGCCTAAAGCAATAGCTCATGAGTATACTCTACATGAAGTGAGTTTGAAACTCAGAGAAAATCATGAAGCATTTGACTCCTATTGTTCTTGATACGGAAAAACATTTTCAGGACCAGACATTGATAGAAATTCAATTTCATGGCAACATAACAAATAACATTGCATATTAAATTGAAAGTATGAGAACTTCATCGCAAACATGATTCAAACGAAGCATGTTTTTTCATGTTTCACTTTTTATATACTTTTTTAAATATTCTTCTGAATTAGGTAACAGATGTTGAGAGACCTGATTGTACTGTTATACATACGGTTGGAATATGTGGTATATCATCTCTTAATACAGCTAATTGCTCGTTGTACACATGGACTGCTTTAGCTGAAGTGACATTTTCAGGGACACTGTTAGAGAGTATATCATCCACAGTTGGTATGTCCGTTAAATTGACTCATGTTAATGTAACGGGGTTATCTACAGGGCCATTAGCTGTTAACATCAGGTAAATACATGACTTATGTTAAAAGGGGTTTATAAAGATGTAAATGGCCATTTATGTACAACCATCTTTTTCTATCCGGTTATACACCGAGTTCAACAAAATCGATAACTTGAATTCAGCGTAAAGATTTCTGAATAAGATAAAACTTCAAGAAATGGGCAAATCCAATTACCACATACATCGTTTCCCATTGTCACTATATAATATATTCATCCCTTCTGTCCTCCAACTTTATTTACATTCCTAATATTCAAATGACAAAGATTTGTACTATGATCTTGATGTTTCCCGTCCAAAAGATATGGTTTGACAGAAAGATAATATTGTCTGCATGCCACTAAAAAGAATAGTCTTCTGATTAGGAAATGCAGTTTACTCATCTTCTCGGCCAAAAAAAAACCCTCAGAATTTAGCAAAATGTATATTGCATATAAATGACGATATTATGTATTTTAAAATCCAAACACTTTCGACTAAAAGTAGTTAATGTGAAACGACCACTAGCCTGTCAACATTGAGATTGTGAGTTCGAACCCTGCTCGTGGCACTCCGATCTTAATTAACTAGGATTGCCAGTTGAACCACAAAAGGTTAATTGTTCTTTTGGGGACTCCTGCTTCTACCACCAATACAACTTAGCCACGATATAGCCATGAGTGCTGAAAGTGGCGTTAAACATAAACAGCCAATCAATCAGTCTTTTTCAGGGTTCATTTATTTATTTGTATTATATCTGTCCTCGTGACAATTATATAAAACGCCTCGAAAAATAAAAAAAAAAAAAATGAAAATAGCAATGAGGCCTAGACACAGAACATATGAGCTCATATACGTCTTTGTTTCCAGTGGTGACTGTTGTACGCCATCGTTATACATAAATGTGATCGATGTTGATGGATTTATATCACAGTGTGATCTATCTTTTGGTGATGGTCAGTCAGTTCAGTCAGTAGAAGTTGTGTCACAACCTTCTGGGTCATCGGTAAGTTTTAGATGTAGAAATCTCTGATATTCCCTAGCACATTAAAAATGTATTTTCTATTGTCTAATAAATAATCAGCACTGTCATGACATGCTTACTGAACTTTAGGCCTGATATCTTTTTTGAGTTTTTGCAACCTTTTGGCGCATTTAACTATAAACCTGTTATTTTTGACGACTTTTATTGACAAACTTTGTTTGTATACATCCTTGTACATTACATCACAAACCGTTAATCCTAAATTGTAGTTGAAAATCGCCTTGTTGATACAAAGATTGAGTGCCACACATTTCAGCTGTTTTACTCTCTTGTACTATCAACCATAACAATAACCGAAAGTCGAAGACTCAATTTTGTACCTACTTATAACATCACCAAGCTGTTTGATTGATGATTGCCTAAATTCAAATAAAAACTATTTCATGCATACTTATGACAACATATTATCAAATAATACACTAGACAGATTCTGCAAACACCATGCAGAGGGGTGGGAAATTAGGACTGTTACTAGAAAATGAGGAACGTTTGAGTAGTAGGGGCACAAAACTTAATTTGCAACCGGCCACCTTCATGTCACCTAAGAGAGCGTGATACTATATCTAAATAGGGCATCAGAATTAACAAGAACAAACGTGAACGCGTACATCTACACATCCTGCATAGCCGAACGGACGCACCTATTCAAAATGTGAAGCAGGCACGAAATATACTTCTGGAGCACACCGGATCATCACCGGATGATAATGCTGTCAGTCATTTCTCTGCTGATTGTTTTTTTTATTATCTCGTTGGAATGATTTTTCTGCTGGACATCAAAAGTTCAAGCAGTCATGTTTTCTACTTCACGTACAGACGTATTTCACAATTACCTATGCTTTTCTTTCTTTATCTTTCAGGGAACAGATATCTACACAATCATTACTATAATGACAGTTTGCGTAACAATTGTCATAATTGTAGTAATTAGCGCATTTCTTTTGCGCATGCACCAGATTAAGTCAAAAGATGGATTGTCCAGATCTAAAGCCATCCCAGATACTACAAGGAAAGAAAAATTCAACGCTGAAATGATTTATACAAAACAAGGATTATCTATCATTGAACATGATTGATTAAAAAAATTTGCTTGTCGTATATAAGCTGACATAAACTGTAATAGTAATTAATGTGATACTGTTAAATGCCAATTTTAATCTTACTTTTTGAAAATTTCAATACATGCACAGCAACTGTATTCAACTACTGTAAATTCAGAAATAATTGCGAGTTTTTTTATTATTGCGAATAATACGACTGGTAGGGTATCACAATAATAAGAACTTGCATTCTGATATCTGAAACATATATCTATAAAACTATGCAGATTTTACTGAAATCGCAATAATTAACCTCGCATTTTTGTCTATTCTTCAAAAATCGCAATTATAAATGTACGCACCAATTTCTGAATTTACAGTATTCCCACATTACAGTCAATTGCCTATGATTTCCAACTATTTTTAATGTTAATTTACATATGTGATGATTGAAATATATTTTTTGACTAAAGTTTTAAATATGCTATTCAACTGAATGGCGTAATCTGTAATTATGTCGAAAGTCTACATTATCTGTGATATTATATTGTACCAAATTAAATTTACATATTTCATGTATATTCTTTCTGCAATATAATTTACAAACTACATATGTCTTAAAAGCATTACGCAGTCTTGTCGTAATATATTATAGTGATAGTTGAAGGTTTTTTGGTTGATTACTTGTTGTGTGTTGTTGAAATTCCAACGACAATAGTTCATGCAAAATTAGCACAAACACCAATAAATTCAATTGATATGTTCTGCAATGGTTCGACCAGGGTGACAGGCGGGAAATTTCGACAGACATTGCATAGCGAAGAAGATTTAATTTAGACAAGCCACTTCACGTTAACGAACAATTACAATTTCTCTTTTAGGGGCCTGTAGGTGGCCTGTCGCAGGGCAAAATGTCTGTCTCTATCCAACATATCATTGTCTTTCAGTGGCAGCTCATATTTCTCGCTCTTCGTCCCTGTCATCACACCTTGCAGAAGCTACCAATTGTTAATAGTTTATCGTCATGAATATGAATAAAATTTGATTGCCACTTGACGTAAAGCAAGCAGCAACCAGTACAGGAGCGATATTTCAAACATATTCATGAAACCTGATTTACGATACAGATCTCTCAAAAACTCGATGCAAGTGTTAATTGACGTACATAGAGAATTCTATCTTTATAGGGGCATAAGCTTCCTAATTCATGTTTTTACTATGTTGAACGATTATATCCCGTTGCCGATTTGACCTTGAATAAAGAATACTTCAGATACAGTAAACTCTGCTCATACTTTGGCTTCCATTTTGAAAATTGACAATGAGGGTTTGTTGAGATTATTTCAGCTTTGCCATTATGCACTTTCAATTTCTATGTATCAACAGTCAGCAGCGCCGGCATAGCTGTGCATATATATCTCTCGGTTGATTCGATATTCAAGAGCTTGCATTTTATATCACATGTATCATGACGGACTGATTTACAGATGCACAGACTGGAAAATATAATGTCCCTTTTTATCGCAGAATAAGTATCAAAATATGCTGCAGTATTTCAGCAAGGATTATATCCCATACCTTATAAAGCAAGAAACATGAAGGAGACTAGCATATTTTCAACCAATAAACTTCATTTGTGTAGGAATAGTCTGTTTATTCTACACTTCACATTCAGTTCCCTGATATCATGATCCTTTGGATTATCGAAGAGGAAGGAGTCATTTTCATTGTTTTGACAGACTAGAAAGAAGTATTCTCTGAACAATTTAGTAGTTCTAGAAGGTCGATTCCGCCATTTAAATATCAGTATCAGCAATATAGATTAGGCGGAATATATGAATACAACCAAATACCAATTAATTTAATGCTATCCAGATTCACTTTATTGACGACAGCATTACATATCTTCACATCGAAATACTTAAACAGAAATCATAAATGTGACTCACGGTTAAGTTTAACGCGTCGGTTTTGTCTTCTTTTCGAATTATGGTTATTGATCCCTCCTTTGGTGTCATCTTCCTCATTTTGCTCTATTAAGCTTCTTGGTAGCAACTGATACTTTCAAAGCTTTAAATATTAGTTGGTCTGGTAGGGGGATGGGGTCCTTCAATTATGAATTATTTAATTATCCAGCGATTTTCTCTATTTTTATTTATTGAAAAAGGCCATAAACGACTGAAAAGTGAAATTTAAATTTTTTGTAGTTAAGGTAGACTGTGAACGCACCACAAGTAAGATCTAATAATGTAAGCGCTAGAGTGATCTTTATAGGTGCTTTCCAGTCTCGTTTGACTCAAAACAGGAAGGAATTGAAATTTAGTTTAATTTCAACACTGATTGTATTTGAGCCGTTTGAAAACAGTTGACCTTTTTCTGAAGTCTGAAGTCGCATGAAACAATTGATATAGAGTGGATTTAGTTGTATTAAACTGATTGTATTTGTGCCGTTTGAAAACAGTTGACCTTTTTCTGAAGTCTGAAGTCGCATGAAACAATTGATATAGAGTGGATTGTCACAATTGAAATTGACACTTTGAACCAGACTGATAATACTTCAAGATTGCATTTATCCATGGGTGTGGTATTTTTCAAGCTGACAGTGTTGAAGATGCATCAAAAGCTACGCTCCGCCGTTTGCAAAGCTAGCCGCATACGTACATCTTACAAACATTTCAACAGAGGAGTTTGCAGAGGAAGATTTAATGCAAAGGAATATTTTTGTAGATTCTGTCGAGGATTTAGATCAAGGATTTCAGTCATCAAAACAATTCACAAAAGCAATTAAACGACGGATTATTTTCTACAGTAAAATGCCAGAACACACTGACATATATTGTCAAAACAATGCACGTTCCGCCAACAGTACAAAATCAGCAGTTGCAACTATCACAACGTAAGAGTTCCACCCCTGTCTAAGAGAACAAGTTAAGTATGGTTTGGAATTTGGAAGTTATGAATTTACTGTTTCCAAGTAACCTGTTGGAATAGTTTGCAGAGTTCTAAACAATATATTTATTTGTCGAGCAAAAGGTGTACTGGTAGTTCCTAGGTAAAAGTCAGCTCTTTTTTCGGCCTATGGTGTAGAAACTTTAAAAATGTATTACTGATTTTGTTCAGGTTCAGACAAAGACAGTGTTTTTGCTCAATCCCAATGTATCAGTAATGTTATTGTTTTTAAAGTTGATGGCTCATCCTAGGAGGTCGCATTCTTTTGTACGGTTTGTTCCAGATTTTTACTATCATGTGTAATATCGTTACGTTAACATTTCAGTGTGTAGCATACATTAAACATTTCAGTGTGTAGCTTATATCTAACATTTCAGTGTGTAGCATACATTAAACACTTCAGTGTGTAGCATACATTAAACATTTCAGTGTGTAGCATACACTAGACAAGTGTGTAGCATACTTTAAACATTTCAGTGTGTAGCATGCATTAACATTTGCATAAACTGTTTCCATATTTAAATATCCTTGAATATATACTTTTGTAATGCACCTTGTGCAAAAATACCATGTTTTAAACTATAAACATGTCGTATTGCATATATTTAGTTTAAAACTTATTGCTGATAATATGCAGGAGAGATACCCATTGAGTGGTTTACAAATAAGTAAAAATACCTTGTGCGGTTTGAAAGTGAAAGATGTACCTTGTACAGTTTGACAAATACAATATGCAGATTGTTCATTTGTAAGATAAAGATGAACATTGTGCCGGTGCTTAGATAACGATGCTCCTTGTGCAGATGTTAGAAAGGTGCATCTTGTGCAGATAATAGATAAAGATGCAGCTGCCCATTCAACTTTCCATTTCTGTTTAGCAACATTCCAGTAGCGCTTGCATATGAAGTATATATCTTCCAGCTGATGTGATATTCCAGAGCTTGCATTTCCTATCATCATTTCCTTGATAGAGGGTTGTTACTAGCAAAGAAGATATCAAAACAAGAGTTCGAAGTAGTGAATAAAATTGAGAATGGAAATGGGGAATGTGTCAAAGAGACAACGACCCGACCATAGAGCAGACAACAGCCGAAGGCCACCAATGGGTCTTCAATGCAGCGAGAAACTCCCGCACCCGGAGGCGTCCTTCAGCTGGCCCCTAAACAAATATGTATACTAGTTCAGTGATAATGGACGTCATACTAAACTCCATTAATTATACACAGGAAACTAAAATTAAAAATGATACAAGACTAACAAAGGCCAGAGGCTCTTGACTTGGGACTGGCGCATTAATGCGGCGGGGTTAAACATGTTTTTTGAGATATCAACCCTCCCCCTATACCTCTAGCCAATGTAGTAAAAACAAACGCACAACAGTACGCACAGTAAAACGCAGTATAAGAGAAGTCCGAGTCCGATGTCAGAATAGGAAACAAAAGAAAATAAACAAAATGACAATAATACATAAATAACAACAGACTACTCGCAGTTACTGACATGCCAGCTCCGGACCTCAATTAAACTGATTGAAAGATTATGTCTTCATCATATGACTATCAGGCACAATCCCTCCTGTTAGGGGTTTAGTATTATACCGTCATAAAATATATGAGAAGAACATAACCCGTGTCATGCCAACAACTGGTTTTAGAATAAATGTGTTTAATTCCGATGCAAAGACCCTATAAGTGAATCAATATTAAAGCCAAAATATGCAATCTTTAATGACCTGACAACAGTATCGTAACTATATCCCTTCTTAATAAGTCTGTTTAAAGGTTTTGTTAGCTTTTGAGGTGAATACTGACATTTTTGTGCTTTGTAAAGAATATTACCATAAAAGATTGGATGTGAAATACCCGAACGTATAAGATGTCTGCATGTTGAGTTATATTTACGAATGATGTCCTTGTACCGATGATAAAATTTAGTAAACGTTTTGACTAGTTTATGATATCAAAAACCCTGGAGTAATAATTTTTCAGTAATACATAAATTTCTCTCGCTAAAATCTAATACGTTGTTACATACACGAGCGAATCGTACAAGTTGAGATATATAAACACCATAAGATGGTGACAAGGGAACGTCACCATCTAAAAATGGATAATTAACGATAGGAAATGAAAAATCATCTCTTTTATCATAATTTTTTGTATTAAGCTTCCCGTTAATGATATAGATATCAAGATCGAGGAAAGGACAGTGGTCATTGTTAGTATTAGCTTTATTTAAAGTAAGTTCAACAGGATAAATTTCTTTAGTATATATACTGAGGTCGTCATTATTGAGAGCCAATATATCATCCAAATATCTAAAAGTATTGTTAAATTTTTGTATCAGATGTTGTTTCGATGGGTCTTTGCTGATTTTAGTCATAAATTGTAACTCATAATAATACAAAAACAGGTCCGCAATAAGTGGTGCACAGTTAGTCCCCATTGGAATTCCGAGTTGAAATCGTCCCTTCGAAACTTTTATGAACGCAATCACGAGTTTGTTGACCGTTATGTTATATCTGTTTCTCAGATATGTTGCAATTGTCGTTTCCACAATCCCATCCTCTTTTCCTCGAATGTCACCCACCGAATTAGACTCATCACCGGATTTGTACTGAAATCTTTTTC